CTCTTATCTAAAAAGTTACATATAAAGTGTTGGGGGTTAATGTTTACCGGTATCGATCGGCTTTTTCAAACACTCTTGTTTTCCCTTGTGCAGATCTGACTCCCATGTTGCTGGATCCCAGCACGGCCCACCCCAATCTGATCCTGTCCGATGGTCTGTCCAGCGTCAAGTATGGTGACGTCAAGCTTCCTCTCCCCGACAATCCGAAGCGTTTCAGTCAGTGTATCCTCGTGCTCGGGTCTCAAGGCTTTGACTCGGGCCGCCATTACTGGGAGGTGGATGTGGGAGACAAGACCGCTTGGGACGTCGGCATGGCCAGTGAGTCCAGCAACCGCAAGGGTAAGATCAAGCTGAACCCCAAGAACGGCTACTGGGCCATCTGGCTGAGGAACGGCAACTCCTACAAGGCCCTGGAGTCTCCATCCAAAAACCTGACCCTCAACTCCAAACCGAAGCGAATCGGCGTGTATGTGGATTACGAAGGAGGCCAGATATCCTTCTACAATGCCGATGACATGACCGCCATCTACACCTTCAGCGCCACCTTCACCGAGAAGCTGTACCCCTATCTGTCTCCATTCCTGCACGAGTCTGGGCGCAACGCCGAGCCCTTGCGTCTTGTTCATGAGTAATATAAAATGAGTTAAAAAAAAAAAATCCAGCCGGCGATATTTTCTGTAATTTTTCCAATTGTTTTGTTTTAATAAAGTTCATTCAGTTGAGATGTTTAGACGAAGCTAATGTTGCTGTTCATGTTTTTGTGCTTTTTTATTATTGTTTAGATTCTTTAATAAATTGTTTAAATCAAAGTACCCCGTGTGTCTGTCTTACAGGGTCTTGTCCTGTATTAAAAAGGGGATGTATTGCAGGGACAAGTCTATAATTTTGCCACTTTATAGATCATTGGTTCGACCTCATCTGGAGTACGCGGTCCAGTTCTGGTCACCAGTACTAAGAAAAGATGTCCTTGAGTTGGAAAAAGTCCAGCGAAGGGCAACCAAACTAATTAGGGGTATGGAGGACCAGAGCTACGAGACGAGGCTACTAAATTTAAACATGTTCACATTAGAGGTGAGGAGATTAAGGGGGGATATGATTTCCATGTACAAAATGTTTAATGGTGGTAGCAACATTAGCGATAAACTGTTTAAAATTAACTCCGTTACAAAAACTAGAGGCCATAACCTAAAATTGGTGGAAAAAAAATTCCAGCACAAGGTGCGAAGGGGGTTCTTCACAGTAAGATCAGTTAGGGTCTGGAACTCACTGCCACAGGCGGTGATTTCAGCAAATAATGTGGAATTGTTCAAGAAACTTTTGGACGATTTCTTAAGGGACCGTAATATACAGGGGTACGGGTACTCCTAGAATGAGATCCTAATAGGTTGGACTTGATGGACTAATGTCTTTATTCAACCTCAAATACTATGTAACTATGTCTGTCTTTTCTGTCCATGTGAGCCTTACCTTTTTGGTTTTTGATGCATCGTTCCCACTCGGAGGAGATGAACTCTGGAAGTGGTGGCTACAAAAAAGGCAAAGGGGCACAAGATGGTCACTGGTATTACCTGTGGTCGCCCTGCAGCAGTTCTGTTCTCCATTGTGAGCTCCCCTGCTAGTGTTGAATGGTTTGTGTAAACACTCTGACACTGTTGCTGGACAGCTTGGTCTGTAAGAGGAAATAGAGAAATCAGACTTACCGGCCGGGTCAACAGCATATTAGCTTTCCTCCATTGTTCTCCAGGACAGTTCATTAGAGCAGTGGTGTAACCTCAGGACCCATGTTTGCCCCTTTTGGTCATGAAGTTGCGACCCAACAATAATTTAATGTCCGAAAACATTAATTTATTCCACAAAACAACTTGTGCAGTGTTCCATTGTGTATATATGCCCCAGAACCCCCACATTAAAAATGAATTCCAACCTCAGCCCCAACACAGGGACCCCAGTGACAGACTACCATCCTCTCCCCGCCCCCCGTGACAATGATAGTCCTCCCCCATAGTGACTTTCTCCCCTGGGCTCAGCTTCCACGGCCAGCCTCGGGGAAAGAAGGCGGGCAATCGAGAAGAGCTCAATGCTGCAGTCAGTGGCCTCCCATGGAGGGGCCAAGGGGAAGCAGCGTGCACATACACTTGAGTGCTGCCAGCCTCCAAAGCGGAATGAAGAGCCACGGGGGTGGCTGTACTAAGAGTGGGGGAGACCGGAGCTGGACTACCCACAATGGGGAGAGGGACAATACTATACCCGCCTCTGCCCAGGGCCCCTCACCTGGAACACCCCTCCTCCAGGAGAGAAATGGAACCGTCCGGACTGGTGGCAATCATTTTGGGTCGCGACTCACTAGTTGAGAACCAAGGGACTAGAGCATCACGGCCCCTTATAAGAGTATGCAAAGTCTTGAAGCACCCCAATCTAACACCAATGGTAAACCTGGCATGTGGCCCTTAGAGAATCTATACCAGATAATTTTCTAAACTAGGGGGTCTTGTATGGATTTTAAGGGGGGCATGCAAGAACACCTGTGCCCCCCATCACATCAGAGGCCCCCCTCTCAAACTTGTAGTTCTCCTTCACATCAGAAGCTCCTTTCACATTAAAGTTCCCCTATATCACATCAGGAGTACCCCTCACTTGATCGCCCTCACACACGAGTCCCCTTTCACCTGTCCCCCTATTTCACATCAGAAGCCTCACCCTAGGAGTTTCCTATCCCATCAGAGCCAAGATCAGCTCCGTAGGGGGTATTACTGGCACTCCTGGGGAGGATCTCTTAAATCATCGCAGGACACGGGGAACACTTCCACGAAGGGGAGTTACCTTCCTGGGGTCGCAGAACACAAAACAAAACTAAGCTTCAGCTTTAAGAAAGTACGGGAAGCTGCAACATCAGGATTCCAACCCAGCCCAGCAATATCCAGACAACTAGGGGGACACCTTCCTCAGGAACCGGCCGAGGAAGAGGTTATGGAGTCTCTCCAACTAACATCCAAGGTGGGCGATCAGAGCCATCCTGGAGGATTCTTGGGGAAAGGAATAATCTGAAGAAGATCAGGCAGTGTTCCCTGTGAGGTGTCATTCAGACGGGTGAACGAGTCCGTAAGGCATGCACGCCTGTAACATGACCCGATCGCGTGAGGTATCGGTTCTGCATGTAATTGCACCTGTTCCTCCCTGTGGGGCTGTGTGCGGACACCTGGACCCGCATGGATGTGCAGGTTCGGGTGTGTGCAGCTTCATCCTCCCATAGGAAAGAACAGGCTGCTGTGCGCAATTACACGCAGCACATGTCCCTCCTGCGATCGGGTCTTTTTTACATGCGTACATGCCGTACGTACATGTGAACGAGCCCTTATATAGAACGGAAGTCTACATATAACAGGCCGTTCAGAGCCTTCTTTTCTGTTTACAGTATCTTAGGGACAGCCAACCTCAGCATGCCAGATGTGCAAATCCCATCATGACTGCCGCTGCAAGCAATGCCTGTGGCTGTGAGAGTCTTGCGGTTTCTCAGCAGGACTTGTAGTTCCTCCATAGACACAAACAAGCAGTTACCCCTTGAAGTGCATGGGTAGGCCCATTTCAAGGGTTAATAGTAACTTCCCCCCAGAGTTCTTCTTTAACCAACTTCCTCTGAGCCGAGGCTGTCATGGACCCACCCCTTGCCTGTGATTGGACAGTGAAAGGAGAAGAAGCACAATGATGAGCTCATCTCCCTGCTTTCTCCTCCTGTCAGCATAGTTCTTGTGCTGTGCCTCCCTTCCCCTATTTGAACCCTTCTGTATAAAGGATTGAAAAAGGGTGATATTTTGATCCTCTGTCCTGTCTGGCTGCAAGACCGGCCCCAGCAGCCTCTTCTCCCCAGGGCTTCAACGGTCTAAGTTACATCATCACATCTAATAAACATGGGGACGCTGAGGAAATACCACAGCTGGAGTGGAGGGAGAGACAGGTGAGCGGTCACTGCCACAGGACCAAGCATCATGGGGGCAGCCACAGATTGAACAACAGATTCACTACAAGGTTACAGCTTGAGACATTCCGGAGTTCTGCTTTAATAGCGAATCTGTTTAAAGTGAAAATCTCTCCCATTCCGGTGTGATTAAGGCAACACGACACCCACCACAATGGCAGAACACTCCCAGCCTGCTGAAAACAATCAAAGAGCAGCAGCACCCTGATAAAGTCTTATTTGATCATGAGAATGCTGCTATTTCTAAACAAGCATTCTTGTGGTCTCCAACAAAATGGCGGCGCCCTGCAGTGGAGACTTTTTTTTTACTGTGTTCTATCACCACAGAGGCAAGAGGCTGCCTTAGGCGCCCCTCGCAGCAAATTGATAGTGAATACCTACCCTTACCTTGTACCCCTTGTTACCCCCGAGATGAACCGAGACAATGTTCACGTTTACATCTTCTCCGGTTTCCTGAGAACTAATTTTGTGCTCCTGTCCACTTCCTTCCTGACATCACTTCCGGCTACCTCTCAGCCCCCAACCACTTTCTCCGCCCCCACGTGATATCACTTCCGGTGTTTGTGGTGGAAGGCAGCTTCCGCTTCCATAGCTGAGATCGGTGGAAGGCACGCTGGTCCTGCCCCCCTCTCTTTTTTTCCAGACACGCGTTGGATTTTCGCAAGACCCCGAACGGTTTCCAGGCCGTCCCGGAGCCGACTTTGTTTTTAAGCACCCCGGTTATCGCGCAGCTTTCCCGCTCTTCTTCTCGACCCCCCACGTGACCGACCGCCATGGCCGCCGTAGCCAAGACGAGCGACTCCGAGAAGATGGAGGTGCCTGCAGCCCAGGAGGAGACGGGCAGCGACAGAGAGGAGAGCATGGAGGAGGATGAGGAGCAGGAGGAGTTCACCGTAGAGCTGGGGGTCACCTACTCCTGTAAGAGGCAGGACGGCACCTACCGTGAGTACCCCCTACCGTATACTATGTAATATATATATATACCCCCCTACCGTATACACATATACCCAACCTATCAC